ACGTATTATTGTGTTCCTTATGATTATTGGGGGGTCATCCCATTATTGAAAATTCGTGACGTTTTTTCGTTATAGTAAAATCTCTCGACAAGTGATGTGTAGTCATATTTGCGAAACGGTGAAAATACGTTCTAAGGAAGATATTTTAATAATTCTGAATCGAGATTTCTCCAGAAATCAAGTATCAAGGTTTTTCGTTATGGGGAAACTATTGGTAATAGCGGCATTTTCCAAAAATGCACAGCAACTTTGGAATAGCAAAAAATTAGGGTGGACCTATATTTATGAAACGCAGTGTATATGCTGGGAACACCTTAGACATTGCTCCCTTACACCAATTTGTTTTCTGCTCTGTAGGCTTTCTCCCAACCGAGTTATGAAATTTTTCATAAAGCACTGCTTTTTTGGAGAACGCCCCGCCCACCGGGGGTGGGTCTCCCTAATTCGATGTGACTTACCAATGCACACCTTTACCCACTTTTTGGCCCAGTTTCGAGGTCGTTTTGTCACTGAATCGAAATCTTGGTCGTCAGTACACTTCATTTCGACGCACGCCACGCCCACTGTGGGCGGGGCTCCGCTTAGCTGATGTGTGTTTTGTACTTCGTGAGACCTTGCCCACCCATCCCACACTTGACCCGGTCCCTCCAGGCGGATCCCGAGGAGCTAGGGAATTTCGTGACATACAGAACGACAGACAGAACGACAGACGACAGACGACAGACGAAGCGCTTTATAGTAAGTAGGATTACAAATGGCAAGAACTCCTCACTGAGATGCGCCGTTCGATCGTCTGTGTTTAGTAATCGCAATAGTAGTTGCTCTGACCTGACACTTCGTCATGTCTTGACACCTTCGAATTCTATGACTGGTCCTTGAGCATACGACTTTCCGCCACCTCCTCTCGCCCCGTTCCATCGGCTAAATACGAACCCGCTCGAGGATTTTTAGCAAAGCGGATGTGTGACCCTACATCTGGCACCTCTACTTTCAACTTCAATAGAATCAACGTATAGCTAGTTTTGTCTCGAAACTGATATTTTTTGCGTAATCCATGAGAGGTTGTGTTATTTTGTGAGCTGACGGGTATTTGCATGCTACGATGAATAAAACCTCAAGTGACTCGGGGTTTTGTTTCACAACTGGTGGAGGTAGATTCGAGTATTCTATGTTCAGCAATGTTTCCTAGTAAGCATCGGAGTTCGTTTTTCGTAGTCATAAACTGAACCCCTCAATTTAGGACTCGAAGTGTTATCTTGAACCCCTCAATTATTTAAGACTCGAAGTGCTTAGCTCTGGCAACTGGATAGTAGTGAGGCACTGACCGTGCTTCCATTTTGTGTCCAGATGCTCATTGCCGTTGAATGCTAACTGTCTGAACCGGTACATCGAAAGTAACTGTTTTCACGTCACTTCGTTGCTCAAATTAGAGAAACGTGTAGTAACGAAAGGAAGTGTTAGTCATCAATCTTCGTCGTTCTGCGTAGTGAAAAATCCCAAGCTCCAGTAACTATCACATTTTTTCAGGGAATGATTCGAAGAAATCGCATAGTTGCCACCTTAATTTGTGGCTCATTATTGTTGTTATTATTATCGTACTCTATTGTTTTGATACTTGCAGGTAAGTTCGCTCTGCTATTTTGTAGAGTGCTTGGGAAAGACTTCCACGTGGAAGACTACGAGTGTGTGCTGATTTTTTTCCCATCTCCCCTGAAAGCTATGTTCAATCTAAAAATTGATATTTAAAAAATTTAGAATTTCGCATGGTTTTTCTAAACCGAATTATTCGTGTAGACGGATCTGAAACTGAATTGTTAGGATTAAGGGAAGCCTAATATTCGAAAGTCTATTTTCGAATTCCGTACGTACGCGCCGAGCTCGTCTAGGAGTGTAGAGCGTTATCCACCTATGTACATATTTAGAGCCACCAAAGCTGAACACGGTCTACTCAATATCTGATTGATCAGAAAATATATTTTTCTTTCGTTGTATAGTAGTTTTTTCCTCTTTATTTGCGCATTATTCTACTGGATATAATATACATAGTGCACCTATGCGTGCATCAAATAAATAAATATTTTATTAATGACCATGGGCACTAGACAAATTTAAATTGTATTTGAATGTCAGATTCATTATTGGGCGAGGCTTTCGAAAAAGAGGAATAATCTTTGGTTTATTTCATAATCAGCGAGAAGGTCTCCCTAACAAATGCTTGCAATTGCATACTGTTCGCATTCGCCATCGCAATATTTTCCATGTTTCCTAATCTTGTATTTCGTGTCTACATCCACCTTATCTACACAGAAACAATATCTGCGATTCTAATTCTATTAACGTGTTAGTACACTTGACGATATTGGTGACAGAACATCATGGGAAAGACGTTGGGACCCGCGCAAGAGTAATCGCAGCTGATAACGGGCCGCCAAGTTACTCAAGTAATCTACCTATTCCAAGTCAACACCCCATCTCCTTTTACCCGTTTCGCCTAGTCACCTCCAGGAAGCCAGTTGGGAGCTGTCTTTGTAGGGTCCACTTATGTCCGATTAGATAACGGGTACAATACTAGAAAAAGGTGGGTATTGCGATTCTCAATTCGTGAATAACTTTTCTTCCTCCACACTCCGAGGGCAGCTTCCGACATTAAAAGAAGAAAGGTCTGCTCCAGTGATGAACAAATCTGATTTCTCTCATATTCCTTAAAGGCAAGATTCGGGATAAAATAGGTGTGGAAAAGCGTTCAGTTATGAAGCTAGAGGTGGGAGGTGGTCTGTAAAAGAGAAGGAAAGCAAACGAAACCACCGATTACGCCCGCACAGAGACCTCCCCTATTTCAGCCGCATTCCACCTTGGGATAGAGAAGGGGCGCGTTGGACGAGTTTCACGAACCTAACTCTAGTTGCTCCAGTGCCAATGACACAGGTCGCAATGGGACCGCTGCCTCAAATGCGCCCGCGCTTTTCAAGCAGCGCCACGTGGCAACCGACAGCGGAGGGTGGGGCTTGCGGACGAAGGTGTGAGTTGCGGCAGTTGACTAGCGCTTTGTGTCGCCGCTTTCAAGCTGCGAAATCGACGCTTGTCGGTCTGCCTACTACCCCCGCGATGGAACAAGTAAGCGCGCTCAATCTCGGACCGTGCCTTAAAGTAGATCTGCTGCTGATTAAGCAGACCACATAAACTTACACAACCGAGTTCTACACAAGCATGGGCCTGAATAGTGAAAGTCATGTAGTTGCTCATCAATGTATTTGGTTTCCTTGATTTTGATGAATTTTAGAGAAAGAGATAATTCTACCATCGTTCGTAGAAGTTGATCTCAGTGGCACTGACGATGCTTCGATATTCGATACTTGTCCATTGAAAATATACAATCATCTAGATCCACAACTGCGCCAATTTCACAACCCGCAGTACAATCCCAAAGCGGTGAGTTTCGGTTATCATTTGCTAAACAATTTGTGCTGATTCGATACAAACTAGCGAACCCATCGAGATACTGTAATATTTAGTGCTCATGTGAGGGTCTATTAGACTGGTGCAACCCCATTAACCATCTGCCTCACAAAATACTGATCTGGAATCCATAGCTATTTTCATGTGATGTACATAAAGAGATCTATTTCGCTTTCTGCAGGGCGTACACTGTACAACCTCTCAGATCTAGAAAACGGGACGGTTGAGAACTACGGAGGAAGCGACAAGGACTACAAGTGTACTTCCGCAAGTTATGATTTTACTTTTTCAGTTGAACCAATCTATTTTGTCAACCTTTTGGATGCTGTCGCTCAATGTAAAGAAAAGAATTTTCTCTAGGCGTCTAGCTTTCGAAAAATCTTCGTCATCGTAGTCTTTGCAGGCATTGTAGCACCACTGTTTGAACGCACCGCACTTTTAGATGGATATTTAAGTGCTGGGGTGTAATTTACAATGATCACGATACTAAATACATAGCTGATCCATGGATCATTCTTCCATCTGAAGAGCCCTTCAGGTGTGACATAATCGAGTCACAGTGCAGCAATGGCATTTCATTCTCAAGTAATGAGTCATACCTTCACATGCAGATCTATGAAACCGGGTGAGCAGCCTTTCCCTCATCCTGATCATGAGTCATTAGGCAATCAGGGCTATTCATCAGACGGTGTGCCTAAAATGAAGCAAAAATAATAATATATTGGCAATGATCCCGACTCTGCCACAGCGTATTGCCGCATAGTTGGGCCCAGGGTCAACCGGCACGTTTGTCCAATTTCAGAAATCCTACGACCCCTCTCTTTTAGATATTTTCGACATGGCCTCTTCCCATATGACACTTATATATGCACCACTACCCCTTTCAACCCCATCAATGTTGTCCATACATGGTGGAAATAAAACGCGACACCGTCACTGCGGAAGGAAAGATGAAGAGATTGAATGAACAAGTGCTATCGGTCCAACATCCCGAACAGAAGCGGTGAAGCGACAGGCGTTTCCAACTACCACGCATCAAGCTGTGTGTCAACGATTGTCGACTGGCTGACGGGAGCTTGTCCTTACTCCCAGCAACAGGTCGATTCCATGCCTGAGGTCAACAACGGATGCTACACCATCACTAGGCAGGTGATTGAGAAGTATCGAGGAAAGTGCGGACACACTGAAGAGATAGTCACGTTGGTAGTGCGAATTTTGCGAAACCAGGTGCTTCATGATTGGAAAATGGCATTTCTAGTAATCTTTCCACATGACTCGCTGGAAATCTGAGGAGATTCTCAGTTAAAACAGTCCAAACGTATGGCGCACCTGTTCCCTCTCCTCTTGTCTTGTACTATTTATTAGAATGTTTAGCAAATGTGAAGCTACAGTAGATTTTGTTGCTTGGTTGGTGAGATATCGAAACTGAATATAGGTTGGTAGCCAGCCACCTTCTTGTTGCCACTTCTCATCAGGGTGAAAATCGTGTCGAGGACGTGGTCACATCAGTACGACCCCCCCCCTCAGATCGGGGTCTTGATACGACCCCTCTAACTTTGATTTGATGTGAATAAGCGAGTTCCATCAATGTACAGCAAAGCATTCAGTTGCAGCGCGGTTTATCCGTGGGTCAGATTTGCCGAAACCCCGCTCGAAACCGTCGAAATCTACACTCTCGATGAAAAGGTTCCATTCCCCCATTTCATAACCTTTGGAGCAGTATGTGGTAGGGTTAGATAGAGCTGGATTTGCTACTACCGGGCAATATTGAAATTGATCTAAAATCTTACACTCGAAGAGATAGGGTCTCTCAAATTTTGTCGAGGGAGCGTCGAGGATGCTGAAATTTCCATAAAAGGCAATACCTCTCGGATTTCGCAAGATCTTAGAAAACCGAAGAAAGTTTTGGAAAGCGGAAGGTTTAAGCTCTCTAACATTACGTTTCGCTCTCACGAGGGAGTGGGCAGTAGGTAGGGGAAATGCTTTCGCAGCGCGTGTGCACATGTGACCCTGTTCCTTGCAAAGATGCACTTTCATTCTTTGTATACTTTCAAATACTTCCTTCTCGAAGGTAGAGGGACGGAGCGACTGAACCTGCAAAGAATATTTTATATCATGTTTTCTCACATATCTTGTTTTCTGCTGCGCTACACCCTCTCCCTCCTATCTGCACCACGATGCCACTGATGTTACTGACCCCACGAGTACGACCCCCCATGATTTACCTTGACAAATACGACCGATATTCACCGTGCTTCTCACCCTTACCGGGAGTGTTATTAATGATAACTTGTGCAGAAAGAAAGAGATAAATGATATCCGAACGATTCTTACGAAGTTTTTCCTAATTCAGTGAAAGGGAGCAACACTCCCCAATGAAAAGTTCCAGCTTGCCCAGTTCAAGAGACGAACGACCGAACGTCTTTATTCTACTTCTTGATTCAGTATCGTCGCACATGTCGAAGCGGTAGGTACAATTCTAAAGTTTCTTTGACATTTCCGATGATTCCGCTTGAACATTTCAACGCTGAGCTTGTCAGCTCACACTCAAGGTCAATTCGCATAGTAAGGTTACCTACCTGAAATTTGCTGCAGTATTTTCACTGTGCCACCGCATGGAATTTGAGTGCTCTCGCTCTTTGGAAGAGAGAACAAATAAGGGTAGAACGTCCCCTCAATTTTATCTAAAACTGAATTCAGCTCACTACCGCAAAGCCTTGCTTACTTGAAAGCGGAACTTGGTGCTGTTCAAATGGAGTTTTTGAACAAACTGGGCAGAAACAGCCGACCAAACGCGTTTCCACTGTTTTTTGGTTAGTTGGCCATTGCACCGAAAAAGAAAAACTCATAATCTTTCATGAATAACCCTTTTGCCGTAATTTTTCAGGTAAATCTGATGAGGGTGGAAGCCGTGCACTGGTCGGACAGCCGCCTATAAAACCGGACTGGGACCACCGTAAAAAATGCAAGGAATATCTTGATAAGTATTCTTATGACTTGGAGGAGTATCGCCTGCACGGCTACAAAGTTAGTAGGGTTTACATTCTAAAAGTAGCAAACAGATAGAAACACTTCTGAAGGAACCGTCTTTGAAAAAGTGGTTCGCTTTTATTCCAAACATCACAGTGCTATTTGCGATCACTACATCAGATGGTATAACAAGCTTCATACATATACAATAGATTCATGCAAAAAAACAGGCTTAACACATTCACGCCGATGGCCGCCCATATGGGCTGCCAACAACATGCGCTCCTGGGACGATGGCAGCCCATATGGGCTGCCAACTGATAATCGCTTGCCAGGCGCTAGGAATGGACAGATAGGTGGGCAAACCTCGTAATCGAGTGTAAAATGCTTTTAAATTCCTTCACGGGGAAAGTGAATAAATGCTCTCTTTTCGTAACCACTATTTGTCGTTCTGATCGAAATCCTACTGTGTATATGTTTAGATAATCTTTACGCATTGGACATTGCAGGAATTATTCTTGTGACATCATCTGTTTTGTCGCATCTTCCAAAACAATGGCGGTTATTTGGTCGAGGCGCGCGCGCGTTTTTCCACGAATATCGCTTCCGTCTCACGGTTACTTAAAAGTGAAAAAGGCGGCCGTCGTCGTGTTAATATGGTGTTATAAGAGCCCAAGCATTGTGATTCCAGATTCGGCCTTCCGTCGGGTTAGGACTATAGAGATATGCTTGATAGAAGTACGTCTGTCTGGGCTGTGGGGAGGTACACCATTATGCTTGCGCATTGTTTGAAGGAATATTTGTGGACTTAGGATGCCCTTCCGCAATTTGAGATTACGACAAATCGATCTAAAAAGATAAATGGCACCGAATAGTGAGATTTATTGCGGTGGTGAGGGGCCTGTACTCACGCTAAGGTAGTGAAGCGCGAAGAAATAGCATTTGTGCACTATGCGATTAGCTGTTGTTGCCTTTTCTTCTTCGTCAACCTTATTCTCTTTTTCTCGGTCTCCGGACTGCTTCCGGACAATAAATCTCGTGGCAAACTCCGCCTACTTCGGTGCGTGCTCCGCCCACCAATAGCATTTGGCCCCTTCCTTTCGCCGACCTCTACCCCTTTTTTTCACCGGTCTCTGGGGACCCTCCTGGAAGCAGCTAATTATGGTATACTCTTTTGACTTTCTTTTCCCTCGCCAACCTCTAACCCCGTTTTCCCTATCCTAGGACTTCTTGGAGCCGAGTTATGAATTTTCGTCGCAAACTCCGCCCACTTTGGTCAAGCCCCGCCCACCATTGACAGCTGGCCTCCACTCCTCCACCCACCTCCATCCACCTTTTCCCGGCCTCCGGGACTTCTTGGAGCCAATACAATTTTCGTCGCAAACTGTCGTGGTTTGTGGGGTTTTGTTTTGGTTCCCGGTGCTTTCCCACCCTCGCTTCGCGCCTTGTGTTTTTTGTTTGTTTTGTGTTGTGGTGGTGGTGTGTGTTTCCGCCCACATTAACGCACGCTCTGGTCATCAACCGTAAGCATTAACTTCTCCTTCTCTTCTGACCGTATATCCACTTTTTTTCCCGTTTTCCGGTAGAACGAGCTGTCTATCTAAGCTAGAGTTTATGGAAGTTTTGCGTCGGTGGTAACTCCGCCTACCTAGAGTTCCCTTGCGCCCACTTCTAACTATGTTCTTGCTCTACTACTTCAACCACCCCCATGCACCTTTTTCCCGGTCTCCCGGGCTTCTTGGAATCGAGTTATGAATTTTCGTGATAACTCCGCCCACTTTGAACATGCTCCGCCCACTAATGGTATTTAAGCTCCACTCCTCCACCCACCTCTACCCACCTTTTTCCGTGCCTCCGGGACTTCTTGGAGCCGAGTTATGAATTTTCCGTCGCAAACTCCGCCCACTTTGGTCAAGCCCCGCCCACCGATGAAAGCTGGGCTCCACTCCTCCACCCACCTCCATCCACCTTTTTCCCGGCCTCGGACGTTCTGAGCTTCTTCTCCCTAGCGTTAGTCCCGCGCAGTCGCAGGGTCCGCTGTCTTTGTCAGTCGTCGCCACTTTAGTCTGTCCAGGGCGTCCTCTGCTGTGGCCATGACTTCACTTAGATCCTTCTTGATCACATCTCTCCACCTCTTCTTTGGGGCTCCTCGCGGTCGCTTGCCTTGCACTTCGAAGTCCATCGCTGTTCTTATCGGATGATCCTGTGGCCTCCTTAGCACATGCCCATACCATCGTAGACGCTGTTCCCGTACCTTCAGCTGGACAGGGGCAGTCTGCATGACCGCTCTAACATCTTCGTTTCTAACTCTGTCCAGCCGCGTCCAGCCGCAGGCCCACCTCAGCATCCTCATCTCAGCGGAGTGAGCTGCCTTTCGTGGTTCTTGTTCAGAGGCCAGCACTCGCTGCCGTATAGCATCGTAGGCCTGACTACTGTTCGGTACACCTTCCCTTTGAGCGTTCTGGAGCATCTTCGATCACAGAGGATTCCAGTGGACTCCCTCCATTTCATCCATGCTGTGTTGACCCGAGCCTTCACCGCCTGATCCACACTGCCATCAGCTGCCAGATCGCTCCCAAGGTAGCGGAAGTCCTCCACTCGTTCGATGGTCTCACCATGGCCGTCTACGATCGGCTCTGCACCCTCTTCGGAGCTCAGGAACTTGGTCTTCTTGACATTCAGTCGTAGCCCGCCTTCTGCCAGGACCTTCTGCCATTGCTGCACCTTGGCCTGTAGCTCCTCTCTACTATCCGCTATCAGGGCGATGTCGTCAGCGTAGAGGATGGTCTTCAGTGGTCCTTCCATGAGGCCCTTCACCATGGTATCGAGCGTTAGGAGGAACAGGAAGGGGCTCAGAGCTGACCCTTGATGCACCCCAACCGTGATGTTTATCTCCTTTGTTAGGCCGTGAGGGGTGCGTATGGCTGCTTTGGCTCCTTCGTACATGTCCTTCACCAGAGAGATCAGGTGTTCTGGCACGTTTCGTTCCCTGAGCGACCTCCACAGCACTGCTCGCGGTAGCCGGTCGAACGCCTTCTCCAGGTCGAGGAAGGCTAGGTAGCAGGGTCGGCGCTTTCTCTCGATACTTCTCCATCACTTGCCTTGCGATGAAGATGGCATCCGTTGTAGATCTTTCGGGCATGAACCCGAACTGTTCCTGGGAGATCGGGACCAGCTCCCCTCGAGTCGACCAGTCGCTCGTACAGCTTCATTGTATGAGCAGTCAACTTGATCCCGCGGTAGTTGGAGCAGTCCATTGCGTCGCCCTTCTGCTTGAAGATGGGGACGATGGTACTTGTCCTCCATGCATCCGGCATCTTTCCTTCCACTGTTACCTTGTTCAGGAAGCTGGTGAGCCACCTTATGCCGTACTCTCCGAGCGCCTTCCATGCCTCGATTGGCACCCCATCTGGCCAACGCCTTTCAACCTTATCTCCCGCAGTCTAATCTTCCTAGCTAGAGTGTGTGGGGATGGGAACCAGCTGCTCTGTCCGTGATCGTTATGGGGGAACTCGTTTCAGAAGCCCCGTGAAGTACTCTTCCCACCTCCTCTTGACTTCGGCTGGCTTTCTTAGGATGACACCATCGCTGCCTTTTACACTTTTCACCACCCTGATGTCTTGAGTAGCACGATGGCGGGCCTTAGCCAGCCTGAAGACGAACTTCTCTGCGTTTCTGCTTTCCAACTTCTCGTACAAGGCGTCCATTTCCGTGTTCTTCGCCTTGGCGACAGCCTTAGCGAGCCTCTTGCAACTCCTGTAGGTAGCGAGGTCTTCGGGGCTCCGGGTCTTCTGCCAGCGCTTGTATGCTTCCTTCTTCTGCTTCACGACTCGCTGGACCTCCTCGTTCCAGAACCACGCTGCCTTGTCTCCTCTGAATCCACCTCGCGTCTCACCCAGGACCTCCTTGGCACATCGCAGGATGGTATCAGCCGCGCTGCCCCAAGTCCGCTGTATTGGCCCGTTAGGATCTGGAGACCGACTTCCATTATCTTTCGCCTGAGGTCATCCTTCTCCGCTTGGTGCAGCTTCCACCACCGGATTCTCCTCTCGGTTCTTACCCTTGTCTTCTTGGGGAGGTCTATCGCAATGTCTGCCAGGAGGGGCCTGTGCTGGGGAGCCAGATCTTCGCCGGGTAGAACTTTGATATCCTTCACAGTTTTGAGGGTTGATCTTCTTACCAGCACATGGTCGATTTCCGTCTGTCTCCCTCCGCTGCTGTAGGTTACCTTCTGAGTCTCCCTTTTCGCGAAGAACGTGCTGCAGATTGCCAGATCGTGGGCTGTAGCCAGGTCCAGGACCCTCTCTCCCTCAGCGTTCCTCGTTCCTATCCCTCTACCTCCGTGCACTCTTTCTAAGCCTCTTCTGTCACTACCGATGTGACCATTCAGGTCACCTGCCATGGTCAGGTAATCATCTTCCGGAACCGATCTTATGGCTTCGTCCAGGCTCAGATAGAACTCGTCCTTATCACTTTCGGGGCACCGGCTTGCGGTGCGTACACGGAGAGTATGGTCCAGTACCCCTCCTTCGTGTCTATCCTCACAGCCATGATCCGATCGCTGATCCTGTTCACAGCGGAGACATAGTCCTTGAGCGACTCCGCTACCGCTATGGCCACGCCGTTCCGCTTGGTGTCTTCTCCATTGTAGTAGAGCTTGACACCTTCCCCGATTTCTCTGGCCTTAGCGCCTTTCCATCGCGTCTCCTGAAGGCATAGGACTTGGATATTCCTGCGCGTCATCAGATCAGCAACCTCTCGGGACTTCCCAGTTAGCGATCCTACGTTCAGAGTCCCAATTCGAACTAGCTTCTTTGGCCGAGGCCGTTCACTCCTCGGTAGCCCTCGCATACTGACCACAGAACTCGGGCGGGGTTCTGCGCGCCACTTCCGGGTGACGTCCTAGCTTTATCACTGATTCCTTTTTCGACTTTAGACATATTTGTTGTGACGGGGGTCTTCATCAGCCGGCCTGTCAACCTGGCTGACGC